AGCAGACTCCCTGCCGAGCAGGGAGCCCGATGCGGGACTCGATCCAGGGACTCCAGGATCATGACCTGAGCCGAAGGCAGTCGCTTAACTAACTGAGCACCCAGGCGCCCCCCTGAAAGTTCTTTAATGTTAGAAGACTTAAAACAATTTTGTCACACCCAGAATAATGTACCAGGTAAGAAATAGTATTTGCTGCTATCTTGATATCTAATTAAACAAACCTCTTCCTCATTGCTTAAGACAAAACTTCTGTCTGGTTTGTGGTAAGGTTATCATTACTTGTTGACACAAGAAACTAAAAAGATGTTTTCAGAATCAGCACCAATTTAGAGAGAAAACGACAGTATGTAAAGTTCCTATTCCCAAACTGTGAGAGTATTTCCCAGCTCTCAGCATCTTTATTTGAAGTCTTAGACCAGTCACCTAAGCAGAACTAAAACCCATGAAAATTATTCCCTTCATTAGCACTAGATAGGTTATGCTGAAAATTAGAAATCATCTTCTAGCTAACATGATAAGTCATTTTGACTAAAATATTGTCATTTCACTGTATAAAATGTAAAGAATGTTTTGATTCTACATTAGTAGAAAATCAATGGTTGCTAATACATGAAAATTATAACTTACATTCATTATAAATATTAAGTAAATCAAAACATGACATTAGTGCTTTGGATAACAAAGAAATGCCACATGATAAGAAATGAGTTGCCAGGCACTAGTCAAATTTCAAGTAGACTGACACTGTCCTTCAGCAATGCTATTACAATTAAATTCGAACTCACTTACCTACTGTGTCTACCCCTTTCCTGCCAGCACGACCAACCATCTGCTTATAAGTAAGAATATCTAGAGGTTGACCACTGAAAATAGGAGTCCGAATAATTACACGACGTGCTGGTAGGTTCACCCCAGATGAAAGAGTAGAAGTTGCTGCCAAAACCCGAATCTGACCTTGACGGAAGGCTCCTTCAATGATATCCCTCTCCTCAAAAGTAAGACCTAACAAAAGGAAGTTATAATACCATATATTTACTAATGAATATGTGAATTAATGAATATAACAGAAATACTGTACTTGATCACTTACAAATAGATCTGGGAATCTACTACAAGCCTCCAAAGATTTTTTCAAGCTATTGTTATGACTATAAACAAAGAAGTGACCATGGTCTCTCTTTTTAAGAGTACAATCTGCCACCCCTAGTATACTTTTATCTCATCTTCTAGACCAGGGTTTGGCAAACTTTTTCTGTAAATATTTTAGGCTTTTCAGGACAGATGGTCTCTGTTGCAAATACTCAATCCTACAACTGTCACATGAAAGCAGCCACAGAACAAACAGGCATTATTGTGTTGCAATACTTTATTTACAAAAATAGATGGTGTGCTAGATTTGACCAGCAGACTGTAGTTTGTTGACTCCTGTTCTAGACAATGAAGTCACTGAAGGTAGAGATATGGCTTATGCATCACACTTCAGCATAAATAAATGCTGAAGAATAAATACACGAGTAAATGAAAAACAACATAAAGAATATATACTTACTTGGCTTATTTTTAATTTTATTTAAAAAAATCAAAAGGACTGAGTTTGTAATTTAGGTGATGGGTCATTTTATTAGTATACATCATAAGTTATATACAATAAAAATATTCTTCTGTATGTTCACATATATACATTTTAAAATGTATTCATGTATGCATAATAAAAATTTTAAATAAATTGAAAAGGTTAAATTCCTAATTTTAGAAACTATATATTTTTTTCTTTTCAAATTTTTATTTAAATTCTAATTAACATGTAGTGTAATATTGGTTTCAGGAGTAGAATTTAGTGATTCATCACCCACATATTACACCTAGTGCTAATCATAACAAATACCCTCCTTATTCCCCATTGCCCATCTAGCCCATCCCCCCCCGCCGAACTCCCTCCCAACCCTCAGTTTGTTCTTTATAGCTAAGAGTCTCTTACGGTTTCCTTCCCGCTCTTTTTTTTTTTCCCCCTTCCCCTATGTTCATCTATTTCTTAAATTCCACATGAGTGAAATCATTCAGTATTTGTCTTTCTCTGACTGCCTTATTTTGCTTAGCAAATATACTCTAGCTCCATCCACATCATTGCAAGTGGCAAGATTTCATTCTTTTTGATGGCTGAGTAATATATGTATCACACCTTCTCTATCTATTCATCAGTTGATGGACATTTGGGCGCTCTCCATAGTTTGGTTATTGTTGATAATGCTGCCATAAACATCAGGGTGCATGTATCCCTTCAAATCTGTATTTTTGTATCCTTTGGGTAAATACCTAGTAGTGCAATTGCTGGATCATAGGTTAGATCCATTTTTAATTTTGAGGAACCTCCATACTGTTTTCCAGAAGGGCTGCACCAGTTTGCATTCCCAACAGTTTGCATTCCCCTTTCCCCAGATCCTCACCAACATCTGTCGTTTCCTGTGTTGTTAATTTTAGCCATTCTGATAGGTATGAGATAGCATCTCACTGTGGTTTTGATTTGTAATTCCCTGATGATGAGTGACGTTGAGCATCTTTTCATGTGTCTGTTAGCCATCTGGATGTCTTCTTTGGGAAAATGTCTGTTCATGTCTTCTACCCATTTCTTAACTGGATTATTTGTTTTTTGGGGTGTTGAGTTGGATAAGTTCTTTAGATTTTGGATACTAATCCTTTATCAGATATGTCATTTGCAAATATCTTCTCCCATTCCAAAGGTTGCCTTTTAGTTTTGTTGATTGTTTCCTTCACTGTACAGAAGATTTTTATCTTGATGAAGTCCCAATAATTCATTTTTTGCTTTTGTTTCCCTTGCCTCCAGAGACATGCCTAGTAAGAAGTTGCTATAGCTGAGGTCAGAGAGGTTACTGCCTATGTTCTCCTCTAGGATTTTGATGGAATTCTGTCTCACATTTAGGTCTTTCATTCATTTTGAATTTATTTTTGTGTATTGTGCAAGAAAGTTTCTTTCTTCTGGATGCAGAAGAAACTATATATTCTTAACCACATCCTTAGCATATATGATCATGGACAGACCGCTCCCCAAAAGAAGTTATTTAATTTAGTGACTGTATAATCCTTGCAATTTTGACAACCAGATGATTTTTAAACACCTCTAGCCCTCTCAAAATACAATATGATAATTTCTAAAATTAATTTGATTTTGACATATTTGTAAGAATGTTTCAATACCCTGTAAGATAAAAGGAAACATTCAGAGTAGCATAAAATTAGGGTATCAAGTACCTGTCTAACCTGAATTTTAAGGAAACAAAGTGTAGAATTGTAATAATTTTAGAATTCACTTCCCCGGGGGTCTGCCACGGAAACAAGATGACGAAGGGGACGTCATCGTTTGGAAAGCGTCGCAATAAGACGCACACGTTGTGCCGCCGCTGTGGCTCGAAGGCCTACCACCTTCAGAAGTCCACCTGTGGCAAATGCGGCTATCCCGCCAAGCGCAAGAGCAAGTATAACTGGAGTGCCATGGCTAAAAGACAAAACACCACTGGGACGGGTCGAATGAGGCTCCGCAGATTCAGGCATGGATTCTGTGAAGGAAAAACACCTAAGCCCAAGAGGGCAGCTGTTGCAGCATCCAGTTCATCTTAAGGATTTCAATGATTAGTCACACAATAAATGTTCTGTTTTAAAAAAAAAAAAAAAAGAATTCACTTCCCCCATGGTACAAAAAAACCTTTATCTAGTATATATATACTATACAGATACGTAAACTAAATGTGTTTTACTCTTGTTTAATCACACACTTCTTAAAATGAAATCTAAAAGTAGTGTGGTTGACAAGAAATCAAATGCACAAAAATATAAAAATGAAGAAATTATAAGGATTTTGGAGGGGACTTCTTAATAACAGATTATAAATATGGATACCTGCATGATGAAATGCTACTCCCCATGGTATAGTTTTTTGTAATATAGAGTCCAGGCCTGAAGGCGAACGTTTTAACTGATCCATCACTTCTAGGAGGCCCTTTTGTTCCAGTTTCACTGGCGGAAGTTCAGATGATCTTACCAATCCTGTCACAGAAAAAACATCAACACTGTTCACCTCTGGCTGGACCTCTTTAAATGCTATCTGCCTAAGTCATGACAGAGCTAAATATTAGGGCAATGGTTCTAAAACTACTATACATAATAATTAGCAGGACATCTTTTAAAAATACTTATGCCTGGCTCTTATTCCTAGACATTGTGATGCAACAGTATGCAACCTGGACATAAGGAATTTTAAAATCTCCCCAGATGATTCTAATGTGCACCAAAGTTTAGGAAGCACTGTGTTAGGGTGAGACCAGGCCCACAAGAGGTGATCAAAGGACACAGCTGAGGAAGGAGAGGATTACAGATATTACCATTCAGAGCCTAAAAATCAAAATCCTTGCTCAAAGTGTGTCCCACCAACCAGCAGAGTCAGGACCACCTAGGAGCCTATTTCTTTTTTTTTTTTAAAGATTTTTATTTATTTGAGAGAGAGACACACAGTGAAAGAGGGAAGACAAGCAAGGGGAGTGGGAGAGGGAGAAGGAGGCTTCCTGCCGAGCAGAGAGCCCGATGCAGGGCTCGATCCCAGACCCTGGAACCATGACCTGAGCCAAAGGCAGATGCTTAACAACTGAGCCACCCAGGCACCCCTAGGAGCCTATTTCTATGTGATAATTTTTCTAGCCTCTTTGCTACCCGTGTGGTAATTAGTCACCCATTATCTTCTGTCTTTGCCTCTCTGTGTAAACTGCTCCCCTAGTAAGATCTCAACTTTCTTAGATGCAGGAACTATGTTTTCTTTAAAGAATTTCCCAAAATCTTGGATTTCTGAACTAGTAAGCCTCTGATAAGATATATTTTTAACATATATTATATATATATTTTTTAAAGATTTTATTTATTTATTTGACAGGGAGAGATAGTGAGAGCAGGAACACAAGCAGGGGGAGTGGGAAAGGGAGAAGCAGGCTTTCTGCCAAGCAGGAGCCCAATGTGGCACTCAATCCCAGGATCCCGGGATCATGACCTGAGCCGAAGGAAGACACTTAACAACTGAGCCACCCAGGCGCCCCTTTAACATATATATTTTTAAAAATATTTTAGGTAAAATTTTCTTAAAATTTTAAGGACCCACAGAGGTTACCAATGTTTTATTATGCTAAAGACAATTTAAAATTTTTAAAAACTACCATTGATCAATACCTTTATTTCAAAAGAAAAGTCATTTTAACATAAAAAAAAATTAGTAGGGATAATTTCAGAATTTAAACTTCAGCTTTACAGAAAATGCACTGTCTTATCTTTATTTTTCTGGTGATAATTTCACCATAGCCCAGACTCTAGTCGAAGCACTAGGATTTGGGAACCCCTGCTATAAATAAAAGTAACAGAATCTGAAGCAAAGAAGATAATAATAATGTTTCTGGTTATTAAAGGAATTTAAGTTATTATGGTACAACATAAGGAATATAAATGGCACAGTATAGAAAACATCAATTAGGAGGGAAATGAAAGAGGTATTATAATGTTGGGCCAGAGCCTATCAAATATAAACTTCAAGCAAAGTTTACTTATTGGAGTTAAGCTTGAGGCATCTATCACCTGTCCTCAGGATTCCAATGAAATCATAAAATATCCTAATATTCTGTGACCAGAACTGGTTGGTTTCTGTCTTCCCTACACTTATCTTGGGCCCCAAGAGACCATAGACTGGCAAAAGTGGTGAGGGAACAGTGCTCACCCTAGAATCAGTAAAATATATACTAATGGTTATAGCCATACACTAAATCACTACTCAGCAATAAAAAACAAATTGATAAACAACCTGGTGAATCTTAAAAATACCATGCTGAAAGAAGCCAAACATACAACACATGTATTTACTATGAGATTTCATTTATATGAAATTCTTAGGAAAGGCACAACTAATCTAGAGTAACAAAAAGCAGATCACTTGCCTGGGGCTAGAGAGGAGATTGATAGCGAAAGAGCAAAGATTACATTTTAGGGTGATAGAAATGTTCTATAGGTTCATTATAGTGGGGGTTAAACAAGTGTATACTTTGTTAAAATTCATTAAATTATACACTTCAAATGGGTACATTTTATTATATATAAATTATACCTCAATAAATCTGATTTTATTTATTTTTTAAGATTTTATTTTATTTTATTTGAGAGAGAGAACGCAAGCAAGAGAGGAGAAGAAGGAGCAGCTGAGGGAGAGGGAGAAGCAGGCTCCCCACTGAGCAGAGAGCCCCACACAGGACTTGATTCCAGGACCCTGGGACCATGACCTGAGCCGAAGGCAGCCACTTAACAGACTGAGCCACCCAGGCGCCCCAATAAAGCTAATTTTAAAATACATGTGTTTATATACATATATATGTATATGTCTGTGATTCTTTTTTAGAGTTTGGAAATATAAAGAGAGATATGTCTGATTTCTCCAGAAAAATGTATATATGTGAAGTTCTATATATAATTTAGAGGCTTCAAAGATCAATATCTCAAAGCCCATGGATCCTAGATGAAGAATCTTAGTATGTGCCTGTATAAATCCAGTATTTTAAAAATCTTAAGGTTAGCCTGAGTGTATGTATACATTGTCTATAATGAGGATAAGGAGAGGATTAGTCACAAAAGCATAGTTTTGTAAACTATGTAAACCAGTGGGCAGGTGGCTCAATGATCGAAAAGAGCCATGCTTTATTTATATACTCATTAACATTACTTTCAAGCAAGTGTACTAAGTATAGAAGCTTTCATTTCCATCAGTAACTTACCCTTGGCTTGATGGTGTAGATTATAAAACTCACGGGCAATGCTATCTGCCAACTTCTCACACCATTTCTTTGATGGACAGAAAAGTAATACTGAATGGTTATCACAAATGGTCTCATAACATAAACTAACAACATGGTCCTCATCTCCCTAAGAAAGAAAGAGAAATAGTCACTCTAAAGGTCCTTTCAAAACATTTTCACATCAGTTTAAAGTCACTCATTTTGCTTCATGGGGAAGGTTTTTTTCTACTGAAAGGCATAATAAAAATCAGTTACAAAGTCAATAACAAAGAAAAAGCAAGCGAAAAAGAGAAATAAACTTCCTTATAATGCAAGGTGAAAAGGAAATATTTTCTATTAATTCAACTAGTATTTATTGACTTTGAACCCTCAGCCAATGGGGATATAATGGTAAGCAAAAGAAAGTCAAGGTCCTATCTTTAAGGGGGTTAGGTCTCATTGGGGAAACATATTAAGGTACAAAACAAATAAATGTAAAATACAATTATTAGATGTACTATAAAAGAATTTTATGATGTTTCGAAGCCTCATATTTGACATAAATTTGACAGAAAAAAATCAAAGAGGTTTCTCTGGAAAAATTATTTAGCTGAGATACAAAGGAGGGGAGGCATTATTTCAATGAAAGTTAACTGTCAGACAGTGGAAAAATTTCAGGCAGAACAAAGCATATGTAAATGCCCGGCGGTAGCCCAGTGAGTTCCCAAAACTGGAAGGGGTGTTTGACTGGATTAATTAATTCATCCATCCATTCACCCAATGAACAAACATTTACTATGTACCAGATATTGTCCTAGGTACTGGGGATAAAGAATAAAGCAGAGAAAAAGCTCTTTCCTCAAAGTGTTACTACGCCAGTAGGAAGGGAGAGATAACAAAAACAAGAAAAGTAAAATACAGAATTTTGAAAAGTGATAAAAAGAAAAAGAAAATGGAAAATAGGGACCAGGAATGGGAGGACACTGTAATTTAGACAAGGTGGCCAGGGAAGGTCTCAGAAAGTGACTTTTGAGTAAAGGTCCAAAGGTGAAAGAGTAAACCATACTGATGCCTCGGGGGGGAAGGCATTCCAGAAAGAAAGAACCTAAGGTGGAAGATTCTTGGCATATTATGGAACAGCAAATAGGCTGTGGAGGGAATGAGAAGGAAAGTAGTAGGTGAGGTCAGAGCACTAAGGGGTGGGGACAGATCATGTACGGTCTTATAGCCTACCAAAAAGAGGCTGGCTTTCATTCTAAACAAAACAAGGAACCATTTCAAGGGTGGGAACATAATGGTTATGTTTTCTGATGTTCATGTTAAATAGATCATTAGCTCCTGATTTAAGCATAGACTGAAAGGGAGAAGGTGGGAAGCAGAGAGATCAATTAGGAGACTATTTCAATAATCCAGGTAAGAGTTGAAAGTGTTTCAAACAGGGTGGAGGCAGAGACATACCAACAGAAAAAGATAAACAGGAGAGCAAATGAATGTGTTTACATATTTGTTGAGGTACCAAGGCACAGTCTGATGAAATTTGGGGTACAGAGCAAAGCAACTGAGGAAGATTCCATGCCAGACATACAGAGACTACAAATGCCTATCTAGGAGAGGACTGAAACACATGAATTTACTCCTATTCCCAGCTCTAGCGTTTCCGTACTCGCAGGAACAGCTCTACACAAAAAGAGAAGATGTCCCACTCCACAGATGATGAGTCAGGTTTTTAACTCAGGATTGAAGAATCAGACTTAAAAAAATACTGTGAACTAAAATTTTTTAAGTGTATTTACGGGTGTGTGAGAGAATTTATAATTTATCAAGCACTTCCTAGATGCCAGACAAAACCATCCTTCATTCCTAGAATAAGTATTACATCCCACTGTCTAGATGAAGATAGTATATTCAGAGAGGTTTTGTGATTCAAGTAATATCAGCCATATCAAGTGTCTCTATTATGTATCAGAGGTAGGTCTGACTCTAAAAATGATGTTTTTCCCTTTTACTATATATTATACCTACTACTTAACAAAAGTTAATTTTCCACATTAGTGCTTAGTGTAAACTAAGCCATAAGAAAATCTTATCCCGGGGCGCCTGGGTGGCTCAGATGGTTAAGCGTCTGCCTTCGGCTTAGGTCATGATCCCAGGGTCCTGGGATCGAGCCCCGCATCAGGCTCCCTGCTCCGTGGGAAGCCTGCTTCTCCCTCCTCCACTCCCCCTGCTTGTGTTCCCTCTCTTGTTGTGTCTCTCTCTGTCATATAAAAAAAAAAAAACTACAAAAAAAAAAAAAAAAGAAAATCTTTTCCCAGTTAAAAAGAAAAATCTACAAAATTAGGTATTTTTTATTATTTATATTATCTTTTATTATACTTATTAGAAAAGATAATCATTTAAATTGAAGGCACAACTGGGGCACCTGGGTGGCTCATTCAGTTAAGCATCTGCCTTCGGCTCTGGTCATGATCCCAGGGTCCTGGGTTCAAGCCCTGCATCGGGCTCCCTGCTTAGCGGGGAGCCTGTTTCTCCCTCTGCCTCTGCCTGTCTCTCCCCCTGCTTGTGCTCTCTCTCTCTCTCTGTCAAATAAATAAATAAAACCTTTTAAAAAATAAATAAATTGAAGGCACAACTATATTTCTTCTCTCACCATCACCACCAATTATTTAAGATGAAACCATTAGCTTAATATTAATAATCCTTCTAATGGATATGTAAAGCATATTCAACTACATTGCAACCCCTAATTTATATAACTCAAAAAAATGTTAACTTCTAGAAAATGCAATCAAACACAAAATATTAGGAGTAGTGATGTAAAAATACTGACTTACCTTTACTTGTAGATTGGGATGAAATTCCCTCACAAGCTTCATTGAAGAGTCATATATAGAATTTCCAATTTTTACTGACTCTAACAGTGGTACAGGACGAAAGTTGGTGTGGTAGAGTTCAGCATTCAACCAGGAAGCTACAATCTCCAAATTAGGAAGAGTAGCACTCATGCCAACAATCTGCACGGCATTAGATAGAGAACTGGCTAAATTTGCCTGGCTGTGGAAAACAAATGAAAATGATGTTCAGAGATACATAGTATTAGTTACAAATAGTGCTGCTAACAGTATTTTTGGTCATGTCCTTGGGTCCATACACCCATACATTTTTAAGGTATACACCTAGAAGTAAAATCACTGGGTTATAGATCATCTTCAATTTTATTGATGTCAAACTGTTTTCCAAAGAGACTGTACTAAAGTATCTCCATGATCCATGTGTGTTTTATTGTTCTACATCTTGTCACCACTTAGTATTGCCAATCTTTTTAACATAGCCATTTTGGAGAGTGTGTGGTAATATCTCTTTGAAGAAGTAGTTTACATTGCCTTGATTACTAATGAGATTAAGTATCATTTCATGTTTATGGACCATTTGGATACCATCTTATAAATGCCTGTTGAAGGTGCTTGCCCATTGATATATTGAGTTTTTTCTTCTTGATTTGCAGAACTGTTTGAATGTTCTGGATAATGACTTTCCTCTTTCATTAATTTTTGCTCTTGTCTTTATTATTTCTCTCCTTCTACTTTCTGTGGCATTATTTTACTATTCTAAGTTCTTGAGATGAATAATACATTAATTTTTCAGTCTCTCTTCTTCAGTAATACATGCATTTTATACTATCAATTCCCCTTTAAACTTAAACTACATTTCCCAAGTTTTGTTAAGAGATATACTTTCAATTCAAACTATCTTCCAATTTCTACTGTGATTACTTTTTTGACCCAAAAATGGGTAAAAGTCTATTTCCCAATTTCCAGGGGACATATGCCTCTCCTATACTTATTTTTTAGTTTAATTCCATTTGTCAGAGAATATATTTTAAATTACTTAAATCCTTTAAAATATATGGCTTTATGGCCCAGCATAGAGCGACGTTTTATTATGCACACTGAAAAGAACATATATTCTGCTTTTATTTGGTAATTCTTCTACATACATCCATTAGGTCAAATTTGCTAATTGCATTAGTCATATCTTCTATATCCCTACTGATTTGGTATATAGATAATTATCTCCATGTTTTCTCATATACTGAAAAAGAGGTGTTAAATCTCCCTAAACTGAAACATAAGAGCTCCCAGATTGAAAGAATCTATTGAGCAACAAGCACAATGAACGAAAATGAAACACCAAGACATATTGGTGTGAAATTTCACAACACTGAGGAAGAAAAGGAGCCCCTAAAAACTCCCAGAGAAAATTAAAAAATTTCATACAAAGGGTAAAGGATAAGCATGGCATTGGATTTCTCAACAGTAACAAGAGAATGAAGTAAGGTCTTAAAAACTCTAAAGGAAAAATATTTAAAACCTTGACTTCTATACCTGGACAATCTATGAAATAACTGTAAGGCATTTTCAGATATGCAAACTTTCAAAAAAAATCATATCAATAGACTGTACACTAAAATAAAGTGGAACATCCTGGAAGATGTCCCCACCAAAATGAGAAAGTAAATCAAGAAAAAAATATGTTATCCAAAAAAGGGGGACTCTGACTCAAGCAAAAAGCAATAGGAATAAATGATAAAGAAAGATCCTAAAATAAGTACTATGCAGCACATATATAGTTTACCCACATAACCAGATTAGAACAATTCAGAAGTCTTTTGGAGAAACTTCAAGAAGATGAATTTGGTAGACTAGCAAATGTGTTAGAACATATTGGATGGAGATTTACATAAGGGGGAAAGAGGCTGGGGATCAATCAGTGAAAAGGACAGAGAAAACCAAGCCATCAAACAAAAAAGATATTTATTAATTTCAGAGAAAACAAAAAGTTATTTAGAAGGTAAAAGTAATCATAATACACTACATGACTCGGTTGGCAAAGGCATTTATATAGTCCTAACAGTGTAACATTAAATACTGATCTGAGCAAAATTATGGCATAACAGTATTTGGAGAATGGGAAGATGATGAGAGGACAAAGAGAGACTGTGGGGTCAGGTGGGAGGAGATTGGGTTGGGTGAGTAAAGATTTTAAAGAAGAGCTAGATCTTCATCTTTCATAGTAAGTAGTCAATACACAATGTGTAAAACTAAAAACACAAGTGGCTACATTTAGAAATAACACTGTAAATAAATTTTTTTAAAGCTGTAAGAGTTGAAAGTAGTTGCCTCTGGAAAGAGGGGATGAAGAAATGTTATTTTTCAAAATTAGCCTTGACTGCTCAAATAGAATGATGTATAACTGACAAATACAAAAACTGGATTTTTAAAATTTTACCATAAAAGTGGTGAACAATCCAAAATTTTAAAATGTTTACAAAATCATCTAAAATCACTCAGTCTTAAGTACTTCTTTTGGAATAAAAATGAACTGCTGTACATGAGTTTGTTCTAAATAGGTATTATTCTCCTTCTTTAATTTGTTTAATTCATACTTACTACACACTTCTGCAAACACTTTCTCAACACTGCTTAGAATCTCAGGAACTCAGTTATTTCAGATACTCACCAAGATGCTGACTTGTGAGTAATATAGCAAATCTTAGTGAGCAAAAGCTCCAGTAGATACCCTCGGTGAGAGTCTCCCAGCATATGCAATTCATCCACAACCACCATTCCTAAAGAGATTATCCAGATACTAGGTTTTACAAAATTTCACAATTTCAAGAAAAATTTTAAAAGACTCAGTATCTTATATAGTAAGTAGCTGTCATTACTACAGTACATTGCAGGTGATACAAATTTCTAACCATAAAACAAAAATCAGATTTCACATAATAGACATTCCTTTCTCAAGACATTTCAGACATCATAAGTGGTCCTACTGTAATGTATTCTGGATCTAAAAATCAATGATTAGCTAACTCAGAGGAAACTGCCTCTCATTACTCAGATACTTCTTTACTGGCAACCTTGTAGAAATACACGTACAATGAGATATCAAATACATGCTAGGACAGTTATTCAGTGTATTGACTTTTCTATGGGGGAAAACAACCAGGGCAACCAACAATACTGACGTTAGAAAGTTGCTTAGAAAAACAAAATCAGGGGCGCCTGGGTGGCTCAGTCGTTAAGCATCTGCCTTCGGCTCAGTCATGATCCTGGGGTCCTGGGATGGAGCCCCTCATCAGGCTCTCTGCTCGGCGGGAAGCCTGCTTCTCCCTCTCTCACTACCCCCTGCTTGTTTTCCCTCTCTCGCTGTGTCTCTCTCTGTCAAATAAATAAAATAAAATCTTTAAAAAAAAAAAAAAGAAAAACAAAATCAGATCAAGAAGAAAGAAATGATTTTAAGGGATGTTTTTGTTTGATGATGATAGGTAATGAGTCACTCTACTACAAAACATAAGTATGTTTTGTCTACCAGAATCCTCTTCTCCACTACTTGGAGAATTAAACCAGTCTGTGCACTTGGAATAATGCTCAAGAATTACTGAAAAGTTAGTACCAACCAATGCCTTCTTTAAACACAGTCATAAGATCATGGTTTTCACAGGCACTGGTATCCCCCCGACAAAGCCCCCCCACCTAAATCAAGATCTTTCAGACCCATTTCCTAATGGCACATGATGCTCCTTTTCCTCATCAGTAAGCTATCTCAAAAATCATATGGCATGATAAGTTATTTCAGTTTACTCACTCAGTCATTCAAAAAATATCTGTGCTAGGTATATTGGATATCACATTTAATAAGATTCTATTGCAATCCTTGAGATATTTAAAATCCAATGGGGTTACAAGTGATAAGACAATTCTGATACAAATTGATGAATGTGATTTCTCTAAGCTTTACAGAGCAGAGCCATGTCTTATTAATCTTTGATTTCATTCCCCACTCCTACCCTACCCAACTTTACCATTTAAGTTCACCAGGATCTCAGTGAGTAGCTAACTGATATGAGTTGCCGCTTCTGCTGATGCTACAACCATTCTCTCCCTGCTGCTACCTCTACATAGACTTTCCTAAGTGGTTACAAAAAAAAAAAAAAGTATTAAGGTAGAAAACCTTCCCGGAGTTCCAAACTCATATACAGTGTCAGCTTCTATAGCTCCATACCATTTCCCTGCTAAATGGTAACCTCTAAGTAAAGGCCAAATCTAGATATCCTAGCACCAGAATATGATAATGAATACATACTAACTGCGGATATGGCAGAAACAGCCCCAACATGCTTCCTTCTATTCCCAGTAAAGTTTAGACAGAAAATAAGCAATGAGAAATGACTTGAGGGCTCAAGGATATCCTCTGTGTTTTGTAAAGTGCAAACATACAGGGAAATAGTCAATAACAGCAAGCAAAAAAACCTTTTTTTTTTTTAAACACAGAGTTCCTAACATTACAGATGCCAATTCTCAACTCCATAAGCAGATGACAGATAATAAGAAAAAAATGGGACATATAGAAATCACAACAGCTCCACTCCATTCCATCAAAAATTAGCAACAGAAAATATTTGCTTATTTCCTACTTTTCTTACCTAATAGATCCATCTTATTTTCCTCTATGAGGCGATTGATCAGACCATTGGCTCTCTCGATTGTGCAGACAGCAATATCCAAGGAAGAGAAATGCCCTGTTGGAGAGGCACTGCCCATATAACCGTCCACATTTATTCCTACTTCCTGAAACAGACTCTGAATTGAGTGAAAAGGAACAATACAAGTAAAAATACTTGAAATTCATGAATTGTAGATTGGTTCTATCCCAGAATACAGACATAAGTATCCAAAGATATTTTTTAGATTACTGTTGGTTGTTCCTGGCCAGGACACACTGTTTTTTTGGGTTTTTTTTAGTATCACATGCTAAAAATATGAAGTTTAGAACTGACAAAACTCAGAACAGAGATTTTCTGTTAAGACAGAGTCCAATAGAAGTATGCCATTTTAACGATTACATTAATACAGCACTTCCAAGAGTTATTTATAGAAATTAAAATTGAAAGAAAACTACCTTAAGCACTAAAATTTTAATCTAATGAACATGCAAGAAACTAGCTCTTTTTTAAAACACAAATGTAACATTTTAAGAAACAAATTTATACTTCATGAAAAAATTATTCTCATTATCCCACAATTTTTTATACAATAGAAGTTTTCAAAAGTCCAATGCAGTGGGACCTTGATGTTAAATTTTTTTTTTTTTTTTTTGTAGTTTAACTTTAACTAACATACCTTCTCAATAAAAAGGATCCTTTCATCATTTTGTTACTTTGGTCTAAGTTGAGAGGATGTTACCATGTAGGACCAGCTTTGTTGACTATTTGGCCTCTGAAATAACTGTTAAAAAGATTTATAGAACCATAGAACTTTAGAGCTGTTCATTCAATAAAATGTTTCTGAGTGTTACTGAGTTAACCCATAGTATTAGGGTTAAAATCCTCATTTTACCAATGAAAATACTGAGGTCCAGGAGATTATGTGCCTGGCCTGAAGATATAGTTAATGGCAAAACTGGGACTAGAACCCAGATTTTTTGACTACCAGTATAATAGTCTTGCCATTGCAACATATTTTTTCACTGCAGAGATCACAACAGTAAATGTATTCTATTTAATGAAATACTGTTATTTGTAAAAATGCCTTAAAAACCAGTGAGTAGCATACAAATGAAAAATGTTATTATTCATTTTTGCAGAACAGACCACAGGCCTGAAGCTTTACCTACGCACCAATGGATCTTGTTCTTCTTCCCCTAACTACTCCCAAATGGCCCTCAGTTATGATAGGATATGTTTCTTTAAACACTCTCCTTTCCGTGCTTCACTTTAATTCTACTATTCAGTTAAAATGCTGTTTTTTAATTTATATGTTTAAATACTAATTGAAATATTCTGGTCACTTCCTAAGGAAAAGTTCACAAATTTTAACACAATTTTCAATTACTGTTTTGATTTAATGACCCTTTCTCCTTTATGCAATAATAAAAAAGTTTCTCTTCATAAATGGTCAACTTTTAAAGCTACTTTGGGATGCAATAAAAGAAACCTTTATTAACACAGCTGCCAATAATAGATCTTATTACAATAATGTTCTTAGTACAAGAACATTACCTGAAGATAGTATTTCTTCTCTTTAGCCACAGAGACAAAGGGCAAAATAAACAAAGCTTTCTTCCGCATTTCCAAAACTCGCTTCAACATAAGTAATTCAGCAACAAGAGTCTTCCCAGCACTTGTAGGAGCTAAAACATATTATTCCACAAGGTTATTACAAAGAGAAGTAATATTTGATATACTGCATTAATTAATGTTTTAAGCCATATCCAGTAACTACAGAGCCTTAGACTAGCCTATCATTAAGGCCCCTACTAGCATCTGAAAACTTTATTCGCTTACATGACCCTGACTTCAAACCAGCACTCTAGATAGCCTCACACTTAAAACAGAAAATTATTAAACAAATCCTTTTATGAACAATAAATGATGAATACTTAGTCCCTAGCTTGTATCTACCGATCCTTTCCTTTAAGTGCTGAATGATTAAAAGCCCTGCTTTGAGGAAGGAGATAAACAAGTTTAATATATTGTGGTAGGAACCATGATAGAAGTTGAGAGAGAAGAGCTATAATGAAGTTTATGGAAAGGAAACACAACTTATGAGATGAGAAGGGAAGAGGAAAGGAATGCCAAGCAAAAGAAACAGCATGTGCAGAAGCCTGGAGGAAAGCCTGGTAAGTTCAGAGGGCAGCAATTTAGTAAGCCTGAAATAAAACCAGGAGGAGTAAGAGAAGAGATATGAACATATCACATGAAAAAGAATTTTATAATCCCACCACATAAGGAATTTAGAATTTATCCTGAAAGCAATGTAGAGTGACTAGTGAGTTTTACGAAAAGGAGTGGCAAGATCATATTTGTACTCTATAAAGGCCGCTTTGCAAGCAGAGGCAGAATAAAACCAGAGAGAAAATATAAACTAGTTATAAGGCTATTGCATAATCTAGAAGATGAGCATAATCTACAAGAAAGAGGATAATAAACTAGGTAGTGTACCTAAAAACAGAGAGTAGTCAAAATCAAGATATTTGGGTGGCTCAGTCGGTGGGGCATTTGACTCTTGATTTCCACTCAGGTCATGATCTCAGGGTGGTGAGACTGAGCCCCCATCAGGCTCCACACTCAGGGAGGAGTCTGCTTCTCTCCCCTTCTCCCCCTTCTTCTGCCCCTCCCCCACGCACTCACGCTCTCGTGTGTACTCTCTCTCTCTTAATAAATCTTTAAAAAAAAAAAGATACTTGATAATATACACTGGACTTGGTGATTAATTGATGTAAGCTGGCAACCAGAAATATGAATGATACTCAAGTTTTGGTTTAAGCAGTTGAAATGGTCAGGCCATTCTACCACTGCCACCAGTTAGTATTTATTATGTACATTCTATATGCCAACAACTGTTCTAAGCCTTCGGTCATGCTTTCTATTAATATGCTCTATATTAATTACCACAGGCATTAACTGTAACAGTTTTCAAACCCAACCAATCTGACTCCACAGCCTGAACTTATTGTACCTAATGATAACTATCGGCTGAAGCATTAATTAAAAATCTGGATGACTCACAACTTCAGAAAAAACTGATACAAAGAAAGTGCATCTTATCAAATGGTAAGTTCTAAAGTCAGTGAGTAAAAAGGTTAAAAAGTAAGAATGTCAGAGTTGCCCCTGAAAGCCTATATAAGTCTTCTATATGGTAAATTACATATGTTTTTGTGTATACAACCTTGTACAAGCAGGTCAATGTATATAACATTATACATTATGTTCATATTATGTATTCATAATAAATACATAATGTATAATGTTCACACACTCTAAAGCAACTGAGATCAACCAGGGGAAGAGCAGATTTACATTTCCCTTGCACTCTCATCCTGGGACATGGTTGTTAAGAGGAAAGACAAGCAGAATAGCTCTCTTTAAATTGTCTGCTTTTTCGCTCCCCACACTCACCAATATAATGGAATTTGCATAATTTAAATACGCATATGATGAGACTCCACTTTTCCTATTTTAAGACTTTCTCTAGTTATAAAGCAGTTTCATTCACTTTTTAAACTACCTCATAACTACTACCTTTTAAATTACTTCATAACTACCTCAAGGGTATCCTTTATATTCATGTCATAAAGTAGTACAGAAATTAATGTGCACAAATTTGAATACCTGAATAGACTAAATTCTTTCCTTCCAGGACTTGTCCAAGCAAAAGGCACTCTGCCTGCCATTCAAACATCTTTTTTACACCAAAACTGTGGTATTTTTCCAGAACCGCTACAGGAAGTCCCCAGTTTGCCAACAGCAACTTGTCTATTTGATCGTCAGGAATTGTCTGCTTGCATTCCCCTTTCAGGAAAGAAAAAAGTAATTAATAGTTGAACCTAATTCTAACATATGACTTCAGCTGTTAGTCTTCTACTGTGTTTTGGAATTCCTACGTGTTGGACTGAGGCTATCTATATAAAGCACATCCTGACATAAAGCACTTCCTTTATAAGGGTCTGTAAGGAGTACTGGGCACCATTAGGCGTGAGCCCCCGACAGGTGATTAGATCTGGCCGACTAGGAAGTTGTTTCTGTAAAGGTCTAAAGACCCACAAACCACTTGAATATTATTACCAGGCTGTCGCCCAATCTGCACGTCCATGTCCTAACAGAAAGTCGCCTGCCACACTAGGCCAGAGTCACAAACTGAAAAGGGGAGTAGAAGTCTAGCGGGCTGTGCAAACCACGCAAGCTCTGTGCTGAAACTACACCTCCCCACACGTGGCTGGGCAGAGCTGCCCACCTCGCCCGCGGCCCCTCAAGCGCCTGGGAGTACCTGCAGCTGCGGCCTGCGGTCGGCCGCGGTCCTTCAAGCAGCGTCCCAGACCCGGCGGCGGACTCAGCACGGGCCCCGAGTGGAGCAGGGGGCTGTCCCTGCCGTCACCGCCGCTTCCCGAGAAGGAGTCCGAGCCTGATGCTGAACGCCGCCGTTTTCCACTCCAGCGAGGAAGATTCATCGCGAACTCTCCTCGGCGATTCAGGGAAAGTCACAGTCCCAGCGTCCTCCCGCTCCGGAGAAACCGGGCCTGGTGACAGGTGCAGCCTCCATCTTCCCGCCTCGGCTTTCAAACTCAGGCCTCCCAGCCCGCCCCCGGAACCATAGAGTTCTCAGTGGTGAGAGTAACCTGAGAACCATAGAGTCGTGGGGAAGGAGCGGCTTCGCTGGTGTCTTAGACCTCCAGCCTTTCGCCTCGTTTGTAGGTTAGGGTCAGAGAAGCCGAGTTGCACCTACATCAAGGGGCGGGGGCGAGGGAACGACTCTGTATGTATAACCTGTATTTATAATCAGCCTGGCCTAAGCACTTTCTTTTTGTCTATTTCCTGTTTGAATAGCAAGATTTGCTAACTTCATGAGTTGCCCGTAATAGGTAGCTCAGGGAAGTAACTCTTTTTAACATATTGATATTAAAAAAAATTACAGATTGTGTGTGCAAGTACATATAGTACAAGTCTGGGAAATAGCTTTTGAGAATCAATTCTGTGAAAACCCTATCTTATTTAAAAAATGTTTTTGAATGGCAATATTCTAAAATTCCACAAGATGGAGACATTACTCCATGAAGGAAACATTTTTCCTCGTTCTTTTTTATGCACGTTCTCTGCATTCATTCACTCAATCATTTATTGAGCACCTTCTGTGTACTAGCCATCTGGGTAAATGGCAGGGAAATGGCATCAAATGGTTTCTGCTCTCAAAGAGAAAGAGCCTAGAGAAGGAGACAGACATTAAACTAATTAATTAATAATTTAAAATTGTACTAATGTTCAGGCAGAAATGAACAGTGCCATCAAAAAAATGGAAGAACTCCTAATTTACATTGTAGTCCTGGAAGAACTTCCTGAGATGCAGTATAGTATAGAGGTCAAGAGTGAAATTCTGGAGCCAACAGTCTAGGTTTGAAGACTTAATAGCTATATGATTTTGGACAACTTGCTTAACCCCTTTGTGCTTCCTTTCTTGTGTGTATATGATAAGGATAATAATAGCAAACTATTTGGTTATTATGAGCACTAAATAAGTCAATATGGGTAGAGTGCTTAGAACAGTGCCCTCCACATAATAACTACTATTCAAAGAAAGTGATATTTAAGCGTTCTAATACTGCTTCCAATTTTTAAGGGAAAATAATAAACCAAAAAAATCTCTCACAAATCTCACACTATTTTTATTACGTGAACTATGATCAAATGAGGAAAATAATTAGGAAGGAAATGCAGGGAATAGTTTATGTCATCCCAGTAAAAATCCAAGAGAATATTTTCAAACTTACAGTTTATTTCAAACATTCAACATCTGTTTCTAATTAAAAAAAAAAACTCAGGGCGCCTGGGTGGCTCAGTTGGTTAAGCGACTGCCTTCGGCTCAGGTCATGATCCTGGAGTCCCTGGATCGAGTCCCGCATCGGGCTCCCTGCTCAGCAAGGAACCTGCTTCTCCCTCTGACCCTCCCCCCTCTCATATGCTCTCTCTCTCGTTCTCTCTGTCTCAAATAAATAAAAAAATTTAAAAAAAAATCTTAAAAAAAAAAAAACCTCAGATAGAGAAAAGAAAGCTACTTTTCAAAAATATTTAACAATTTTGTTATGCTAACAGGTATTGTAATAATTAATGCTAATACACCAGAAGTATTTCCCATCTTTTAATTGTGTCTGAGCTTGTGTTCCTTGGGATTTTATTTGTGGTAATTCTTCAAGGTCTGAGTTAAAATCTTCCAGAGGGGGTGCCTGGCTGGCACAGTTGGTAGAACATGTGACTCTTGATCTCCCAGTAACAAGCTTGAGCCCGGTTGTGTTTACTTAAAAATAAGGGTTTACTTAAAAAATAAATAAAATAAACAAAATCTTCCGGAAGAAAAATATTTGGACATATTTCTTCCAGTTACCTGGGAGACATACCAGGTATGGTATGGGCCACTTTAAACTTAATCTCTGGGTTGATGGGTTTTTTTGTTTTTTTTATTTATTTGACAGAGAGAGACACAGCGAGAGAGGGAACACAAGCAGGGGGAGTGGGAGAGGGAGAAGCAGGCTTCCCGCCGAGCAGGGAGCCCGATGCAGGGCTCAATCCCAGGACCCTGGGATCATGACCTGAGCCGAAGGCAGGCGCTTAACGACTGAGCCACCCAGGCGCCCCTGGGTTGATGTTTTTTAAAGATGGAGAAGTAGTAAAATGATGGATGTTAGACACCAGAGCCAGATTTGGACGAGCCTGCAGCCTTACCATCTCAATCTGCAGATCGGATATTTCTCTGCTTTACTTACTAAAGGCGCTTCCGTTCTTGGGTTTTGGCTTTATATTTTTTAGATCTTACCTCTCACCTGTTGGGAGTCCCAGACTCCTATCCCCCAGAATATATAATCCATTAAAATCCACACTCTAGACCACCAGGGATCAGAAGACATCACTATGGGAAACTTTGGTTCTAGTGCTTCACCTACTCTTTTAGAATGTTTGATTATTTGATTGACATTTCTGTCCTACAGGGAATTCTTCTATTTTTACCAGTTTAGTCATGAATTTTTTTTAAATGTATTTGTTACATAGCATCCAGAATTTTAAGAAAAGTGTGCTGTACTAGAAGTGGTTTCTTGTTCAGCCTAATATTGCTGAAAACAGAAGCAAAGGAAACTCAAATAACAATAGATGTACATTCAAATGTGTCATCTGATGATTTTAATAAGTTTGCACAAATAACAAAGTGATTTTTCCATTGCAGAGGCTGTATAGAAAAATAAAATTTATTCAAACTACATTTGTGAATTGACTAAAACAAAGTCATCTACTCACACTGAAGAAATTCTGTGCTTCTCACATGAACGGAGGTGATTTGTGAGAAAAAAAAAAGGAAAGGAAAGAACCAGAAAATACACAAGATCAGAAATGGGATGCAAGTGGTGCTAATTGGAGCTAATGTGTTCAGAATAAAGGAGATACCAATTAAGAGGATTTTCTGCTTGAAGTTCAGTGGTTCTAAACTGAACAAGTGCAGTGCCTACACTTGAGAATCCCCTGGGGAGCTTTAAAACTACTATCCTACTCCTAGAGATTCTGATATAATTGGTCTGGGATAGACTCTAAGCACTGGAATGCCTTAAAAGCTCCCCAGGTGTTCCTAAAAGGTTGCTGGAATTGAGAACCCCGGGTGTAATCCCGGTGTAATTTGGGGAGCTGCAGACTTGAATTCAGGTGGCTTCCACGAGAAAGTTTTAATAAGAGGCTTAAATCAACAAGAAACTCTGAAAAAGACCTATTTCTCCACAGTGTCCCAAAGAACTAGTAGAAATAGCTTGCTTACAGGTAGGGATAGAAGCAAAATTGAAATAATCTCAAAGGTCCAGGTTAAAACATCAGAAAGCCAACTTAAAGGTGGCGAAACTAAACTGTGAATGCCTAAAAGAGACTAAATCACTAGAATATGTAAGTACACAAGCTATAACTTCCAAATTTATATATAGCTGTTCTCCCACTTCTCACATGGCAATACCATTGATTGCTTGTGCAGTAAATACCAAGCACACACTATGAGGAAGAGAGATAAGCAGTAAAACTGGGAATCCTAAGGGTATGATTTTTGGAGTAGAAAGAGCCTTTGCTTAAATGGGGAAAGGGGTGAGTACTCTGCTGGGGAAAAGTTGTCCAAAGGACCCTAGTGGGACAACCTCCAGATTGGTTTGGGTAGGGATGGGGGCAGGAAGTCAGATCACACAGAAGCAAGCACTCCAGGCATACCATTTGACTCTTGGAGTGTACAGTTTTAAAATTAGCCCTTATAGATTCTGAGGACTTCTCCAGAGGCTACTTTGTTTTTTCTTTGATACCCTCAACCCTGCCCCTTTTCTTATTTAGACAAAATCTTCCCCAAATCAAAAGCAACAAATGGGAAAAATGAGTGAAGATTTGCTTATGGCCAGCTGCTTTGGTGTAGAGTAGAGAATGCAGGCCTAGTGGGCGTGAATTTGTGCTCCTGTCTTCCTTTTGCATTTCCCCATTGCCTCTTTCTCTCTCCTCATTTTCACTTTATTTGCTTTTCTACTCTTCCCTTTCTGTTTACATTTAATCACTATGAAGATAGAATACCCTTATGCATAATACAATGTAAAATTTTATTTTTAATAAACTCAGAATCCTCCATGGGAAGACTTTTCTTATGATAAAGGGGACCTTACACTTACCTGTATTTCTCAGCTTAATAAAAAGACCATTAAAGTGATTCATAGATGTCCTTAAGTGTAGTTTTTATTATATATTATACAATCTTTGAGCATGAATTGCTAAATAAATATATTTTAGGATTCCATCTCATTCTTTCCAAAGGTGGGACCAATTTACAAAGATCACATCTACACTGCACATTTTCATGGAGTGCACAGCCTTGGTTACATCAATAGCAAACCTAAAGGACAAGGACACACAGATATTCCTCTCCTGTATCACCTTACCTGCAAGCGCAAAGCAAGAGTGTTTCTTTTGGCTCAACAGTGTCATGACTATCTCATTATCTGAGATACTCCGAACATGATGGAAAATCTCTGGAGGCTATGACTTGGGTTGGACCATTTTCTAAGGCAAATGACATATTGTTGAGGTGTAGGTGTTTTAGTCAGTTCAGGCTGCTATAACAAAATAGAGAGATAGCAGAAATTTTTTTCTCACAGTTCTGGATACTGGAAGTCCAAGGCCAGAGTGCCAGCATGTTTAGCTTCTAATGAGAGCCCTCTTCTGGGTTGCAGAGTGCTAATTCGTTGTTGTATCCTCACATAGCCGAAAGAGAGAGAGAAAGAAAGAGAGCTCTCTGTGTAGCCTTGTATAAGAGCATTAATTCTGTTCATGAGGGCTCCACCCTCATGATCTAATTTCCTCCCAAAGGCCCCCACCTCCAAATACCATCACATTGAAGGTTAGGATTTCAACATATGAGTTTGGAGTCCATAACAGAAGGTAACATGTCGCCTATTCAATATGAAAATTATATGGCTCA